ATAGCTCAACACACTTTGAAAAGGCCTTATCATTAGCTCTTTCAGGATGATCTAGAAGACAATAGACCAATTTTGAATAGTTTGGTACATTAGTAACTTAAATAAGGATAAAAGTTTATTTCTATCCTTCATTAAAGAAATTTGGAGGCGGGCCTCCCCGGTGGCGCCTCGGTTGAGTGCTGGGTTGCGAAGCTGCCTGCAGCCTCCGCGGCGACGGTTCGATCCCCGGCTGCTCCCCGGCCACCGGAGGAGGGTCCCACATGGCGCGCAGACCTCTCCTGCCGCCCGCTGCTCCCCTCAGCAGTGTACTTCGGTCCTTCTGCCTGCTCTGCTCCCCGCTCTGGCTCTGGTGAGTTCTCTCACCCTCCCGCGCTTCTGACTGTACCCAGTGCATGTATAAACAAAAACAAACAAATAAATAAAACAAACTTGTTTAAAAGAAAAAAGAAATTTGGAGGCAAGGCAACTGCACAGAATCAATGATGAAAGACCCAAGATCCATCTAGTTTAGTTCTACAATCTACCATCACTAGAGTATGACACTTGTCTTGATTGCCCAGAATTGCTGCTGGAGCTCAAGCCATTTCTGCTGCATTTAAGAAAATGAGAAAGAAGAATGGAAAAAGAGACTTTTTCCCAGTTTCCTTTAAACAGCTTTCCTCAAAATCCTACACAACTCTGTTGTTATTTAAATGGGTCAAAATTCAGCCAAATGATCCACCTAGTTTTAAATACAATACAGAAAATATTGTATTTATTCTTCATAGTCATCAGACCATCAAAAAACTGAGTTTCTGAGAATAAGGAGGGAAAGAAAACAGATTTAGGGAATAAGCAAGCAGGAGTGTCTGCCATACCTGGTACTCAATCTTAACCCCAAGACCATCAAAATGATGAATCAGCTTGATTTTCCCATTTATGTAACATTGTCTCTATAATCTAACCCATGAATCTCTACAATACTTGTGCAACTATTCTATTTTCCTTTTGTTGCTGGTTACTACTACGGTTATTTAATATATCACTATGATGTCCCTCTGACTACTAGATATCTCAAACTCCACCTGCCCAACACTGAGCTCCTCTGGACCTGCTCTCCTGTAGTATCCCCATCTCAGGTAATGGGCACCATCCTAACAGCTCCTCAGGGCAGAAACTTCAGACTCATGTTTGCAGATCCAGAAAGCACCACTCTCATCCCCTCCAGCTCCCTAGACCAAGCCTCTGTTATCTCCTATCTAAATGGTTGCCTGTCCCCTCCCCCCACTCATCCCTACCCTACCTGCTACTACCCTTAGCCCTAATTTTTATTGTAGAGAATTATTCCCAGCAGAGCAAAGTCTACTTTCAGCAAAGCAGCTTAAGTGATATTATTTAAATTTAAGTCATAAAATTTCATCCCTCCCAAGACTTTACAATGATTATTTCCTTCAGAATAAAAACCAAAATCCTAATAATGACCAGAAAGTCATACGTGATCTGGCATCTTTGCCTCTCGAACTTCTTGTCCTAATATTTCCACACTCTCACTGTACATTGACCTCATGTCTGTTTGCTCCCCTTTTGCAGCCTTTACTCCAACTGTTTCCTTTGGAAAAACTTTCCCACCAGAGAGCAGCATGACTGGCCCTCCAACTTTCAAGTCTTTGTTCAAATCTTAGCTATTTCCCTGACTCTCTTATCAGTCCCCTGAAATTCCCTCTATTCTTCTCTACTTTTCCTTCTTTCCATGCATTTACTATCTTCTGAGATGTCATACAATTTTTTCCAGGCTAATTGGATCTGAGGGCTGAAAGTGGATGAAGGATGAATTCTCCCAGTAAGACACCCTAAATCTATTCAACTCCCAACATATTCAAACTACTGGATTTTTCTCAGTGAAACCCAGTTTAGAGGCCAATGATTTTTTTTTTTTAAGATTTATTTACTTATGCAGAGAATAGCTGGGGTGTAGGCCAGAAGTGAGGGGGGGATGAGAGGATTCACCAGAGAGAGAGGGGAGCTGAACAGGCAGATCTACTGAAATACACTGCTAAGTAGAGCAGTGTGTGAGACAGGAGAGGTCTGCTCCCCCATATGTGGGTTAGCTCCCTGGCGGGGGTTCAAATTCAGGCCCCAGCAATGACAGCACTGAGACTTAACCCCAACACCACCAAGGAGGCCCCCTAGAGGCCAATGAAAAGATTCCAGTGTGGTTAGAAAGTAACCTCTAATGAAAACAATCAATCCTAGACTTTTAAAGAAGCAACTATAGGTGAGTTTTGGAAAATTGAATATAACTGCAGGCATTCATCCGTTTATAAATATTAGGTTCTGAGTGCTGCAAAGCAACTGCACAGAGGAAATTCTTGGAAGGCAGCAAGGGGTGTTTGAAAAGCTTAGGTCTTGACACCTGGCAGATCTCAGTTTAAGACTTTCCCAGCCACTCACCAGCTGTCACAGAAACCTGAGATTTTCTTATCTATGAGTTAATGATAAAAATAGCAGGGAGTTACGTGAGGCTTAAATGAGATCATGTGAAGTGCCTGGCACAGAGTAGGTGCTTCATAAATGTCAGTCTCCCTTCCCTATGCTGCCTTCCCTTTTTATTCTCTGGTATGCACTGGAGTACACCTACTTCCAACACAGTTGTGGCCAAAACACTTTTATTATACTGACTGCTCCATGAAAGGTCATGCTTGTAATCATGTGCTCTGTTGTCTTGAATTGTGTGCCAGCTTCCAAGTCCATTTAATTTCCTTCCATTTTCCTGGTGCTCATTTCCAAATATGGTTTTACAAGCAAATTTCTCCCATACCCCTTTATTTTGTCTTCAGGAAGATTATTAATGAAGATGTTAAGTCAGGCTGGCATAAATAACATTGCAGAAGGCAATCTTCCAGGCACTTTTGTTCCACTCAACAGGGATATGGTGTCATTTATCATTAGGTTCTGTCATAGTTTTCCGGCCCCTTGAAAAACTCACGTGCGGACACTCATGTTCACATCTACTTAAATTAGTCTTGCAAGTGAACATTCATGAATGACCGAATTAAATGTCATCGCAGGATAGAACATCTGTTACATCACATTAACCTATCACTCTCTGCTCTCATAAATCTTTATAACCAAAACAAATAAGTCTAGCATGGTATTTCTAATAAACAGTCTCCTTTGTTGTGTGTGGCTCATGGCCAAAAGGAGATAAAAGACCAGTTGATAAAAGTAACAAAATCTCATCACTAGTTCAAACATGGTCAAGTGGTAAATAAAGAATAATAACTCCTTGGCAAGGAGAGAAATGCAGAGCAATGTAACAGGCTGTGCAGTGGATCTGTATGAGACTCATTTACTAAATCATGGGGAAAAAAAACATTGTCTGGTTTTAGAAGCTTTTTCTCCAACTTGTCTTTTCTCAGTGAAGCCTGGACTGAGTCACTCGTAGGGATTCTCTTTTCTCGCTTGCTGAAAAAGTAGGGGAGCATAATGATGGAATCATTTTAGGTTTCACTCCTGGATCCATTTAGTCTTCATATTACTTTCCTTGCTTCTTTTCACTCATTTTTTTAAAATGTGGCTGAATACACACAATGTAAAATTTATTATCTTCACCATTTTTAGAAGTTCATTTTGCAAGATTCTGGACCTACTAAAAATTCTGGACCTATTAAAACAATAACTCCCTAGTTCCCTAGCTCCTACAAACCAGCATTCTTTTTGTCTTCATGAATTTGACTACTCCAAATACCTCATATAAAAATAGAATCATAGGGCCTCTCTGGTGGCGCAAGGGGTTAAGATGCAACCTATGAAGCTATCCGCAGCCACTGCAGCATGAGTTCGATCCCCGGCCAGGGAGCTACCCATATGGTACAGCAGACCTCTCCTGGCTTGCCCACTGCTCCCCTCAGCATTGTATTTCATCAGTCTGCCTGTTCTTTTCCCCACTCTGTCTCTGGTGAATCCTCTCACCACCCCCCCACACTTCTGGCCTGTACCCCAGTTCTTGTATGCATAAATAAATCTTTAAAAAAAATAGAATCATACAATTTCCCACCTTTGATTGTAAGCCATCCTCCTGTATATTTTTTGTAAGTATACATAACTCCTCCCCAAACAAAATGGAGAATGAATAAATAACCAAATAAAAATATAAGGGAAAAAGATTTCCTGGGGCTAAAGGGATTCTAGTCTATGTATATGATGTCAGCGCTAAGGAAAATGTTTGTCAACTAGAAAAAAAAAATCACAATGGATTGTAATAAATATTCATTGTTTAAATGGTTAAATGTTCAGATAAGCATCATCTGGTGAAAGGAAAGGTTGAACAGAGTAGAGACTCCAAGACAGGAAGAAATATCAGTCTAATTGAGCAAGGAAGCAATTGTAGATTCAAACTCAGACCTAGTGGGCCAGCTGCCAAAATACTAGTCACAAAGCTTACTGACAGAAAGATCTGCTTTTCTGTGGCAGTGGTCAGTGGTTCTCAAATGTAACTGTGCGTAAGAATTAACCACCACAGACCCACCAATCAAAACTGGATTGACTGGGACTCAGTGATCCGAGTATGTCACCAGGGGCCCAGGTGCTTCAGCCATGGGAGGTTTTCACCTGGGTAGTGCCGGGACATCAGCCAGAAATTGTGAGGTAATCAGGTGAGTGGTATAATCTTGGGTTATGTTGTGCACACAATATGGTGTCCATTACTACCTGTTTACCTACTTTACTATCCTCTACATTGGATGTTGCCTGACCAAGGACAACAGGGCCAAAAACAGCAGTGAATGACACTGAAAACAGACGGGCCTTCTACACTTCAGTAAAGGAGCAGCGAGGGCTCTGCCACTATCCTGCCACTATTATCATCTTGAGAACAGACCTTGAGGTTATTTCATTTTGTATCTCTTTTTCTGGTCTGCCCGTGTCTTCAGATACAAACAGGCCTCAGTGGAGCTGCGTTCACAGTGAAAGATCAATATCTGGCTTCTCTCACTTATAGCTGTATTTTTCTTTCTTTCTAGAATATGTCTGTGCTGGAGAATCACCACTGGCGATCTACAATTGGCATGCTTCGAGAATCAAGGCTTCTTGCTCACTTGCCAAAGGAAATGACGTAAGTGGTGCAGCGATGAAACAAACTGATGTCCACACATCAGAGATAAGCGGCTTTCCCCAGGGCACATTTGAGACCCCCGGTTCAAGTGGGGAGCCAGCCGGCTGTGCTTCCTGCCTGTGCTGGGTTGTCTCTCAGAGGAGATTTGGTGTCAGTTACAGCAACCCAGAAACCAGCATCTCTCGTGAGCTTTGGAAGGGCCATGGATCGTGCACGACCTCACGTCAGGAAGAGGGATCATGCACAGCTCTCAGCTTTCACACTCCTCAGCATTAGCACTCGGCTTTGCCAAAAACCTGTCTTTTATGTTAGCAAAATTGTCCTCCTGTGTAGATCCAAATAATAAATATTTATCAAGAAGGAACACAGAAGTTCTCAAACTAAAGACTAATTCGCTAAAGTCTGTTTTACAAAAGTCCAACTCAGAAATTCTTTTCCAAAATGTTTTTGTTAAGTAACTTGAATTGGTCCCAGCAATTTTTCTCTATTAATTTAACTACGTCTCTTACACCTTAAACTTAAGGGGAAATGCCAGTTTCCTGGTGCAGTGTTTGTTAGTGTGGGTATTTAAACCAAGTCCCACTAAATCCAGGGCCACTGTCTCACTTTCCACATGATCCCGGGCTAGTTTCTATACCATCTCCCAAGGCCGCCACCAATTTCATAATGTTTAATTAAAATGCCCAGAACTCAGGTAGTAAAGAGAATGCTGGAGCCTTCTCAGCAAAGGACATACGAGGGCCAAAGGCAAGTGTCTCTCCATGGGGCAGGCTACAGTTGCTCTAAGCTCCTAACTTTCTTCCTGGCCCTCCAAGCCTGTCTCATGCTGTATCCCAGCCCCCAGTAGGGTGTGGAATTTACAGGATGAATATCAGTTGTGCTAACTTTTTATCCTGTAGAACTAAATAAAATCTATCCTCATGCATGTAATAAAACTAGTGTTTTTTACTAAAATAGTAAGCTTCAAAGATAGAATTAAATGCAAAAAGTACTAACAACTAGAGCAGGACATTAAGCGAAAGATAAGAGGAGGCAAATGGTGAGGATAGAAAAGAACAAATCCAAAGGAAAAATGGAGCAGAGAATGGGGTGAGACTTGTGTCTGTAAACCTGCTTGTTGTTCAATTAGTATTCATTTCCTAAGAGACTCCTACTCATTCTATGAAGCCAAAAATAAATACCATATTTTGTTTGTGTTTTTGTGGGATGCAGTGTTATAAATTGCTTTTGCTAAACAATAATTGTTATGCAATAATACATGTGAAAGGCATTTCTAGTAAAAGTTATCATTATCATCATCATTCCTTCCAGTCTCTGGAAATGCTTTAAAATCATTTTTTGATTTTAAAATTAATATATGTTAACTAAAGAAAATACAGAAAAGTTTAAAACCACAAGTTCCATGACATACCCATCAGAATGACAAAATGTAAAGAAGGAATTAGACCAATGTGAATCTCCTCTATTACTTCTTGAACATAAATTTATGCAATTATTTTGGAAATGATTGGCAATATCTAGGAAATTTGAACATATTGTCTGAATCCAGTGATTTTATTCCTGGATATAGACCTCAGAGGAACTTTTGGACTTAATGTAAAAAGAAGTACATGAGGGTGCTTAATGTGGCTTTTTTTCCCCATAAGTAGTAAAAAACGAGAAACAATTCAAGTGACCATTAAAAATAGAACAGATCAATACATTAAGTGTATTCCTACAATATAGTATATTCCTCCAACATAATAACAAAAGTGAATCAACTACAGCTCACCTAACATGGATGACATTCAAATATACAATGAAACAAGTCACAAGTTAGTACATGTCGAGCCATATCATTTAGACTTGCATGCACAGACAGTAAACATTTTTGCACATCATGAAAAAATTATTAAAACAAAGATGCAAAGAGTGGTTACTTTGGGGGTTGGGAAAAGAGGGGGTGATGGGAGATACAATGGTAGGCCTTGAGAAGTACTGGCAGGCAATATTCTTGACCTGGGAAGTCATCACAAGATGCTTATATTTTATCCATTAAACTTTCAATCTATGTTTTTTGCATGCTACTTTATTTTATTTTTAATGGTGAATTTTAAAATTAATTGTGGATCTTTCTTTCTATTGATTACTTTCTATAGGTGAGGTAAAGCTCTGATTTGCTTTATTTTTCCAAAATATTCCAACTTTTGCTACACCGTTTGATAACTAGTATATATCTCGCCCATTGGCTTATAACACTTCCTTAATCACCCATTATTCTTTTTTAATTTCCAATATCTCTTTCCAACCTATCTGTTTTTGTTTCATGGAACTTTCCATTCCGTACTACCCAGTCACTATCATTGGCTTCACTATTATTACTATTATTAAACCCTTTCCTCCCCCCATGCAAATATTAGTGTTTGAGCTGGTTTGAACTCTATACAAGCATGACCCAAACTCCTCTGATCCTGTGATTATGTCCTCCTCAAACCATGCATTTCTAGTTGACTTTCAGTTTATCCAGCCCTAGGAACCATGGAATGTACAAACATCTGCAACTTGGTTCACCCAAGATTTCAATCACTCTCTACAGTTCTTGGCATACCTGTTTAAAGACAGCAGTGATGGGAGGTGAAAGTCACTCTTGGGCTGTGGGAGATGGGGACTTTGTGTAATAAACAGGATCAAAGGCAGAAATGATTTTGTAAACCACCTGATGATGACAGAATTAGTCACCCTCCTCAAAGGGACTTGCTTTGTGTATGTGTTTTCTCTTTCATTCTTGTGGATGCAGACAGGATATTGAACAGCAGCTGGGCTCCTTGATCTTGGCAACAGATATCAACAGACAGAATGAATTTTTGACCAGATTGAAAGCTCACCTCCACAATAAAGATTTAAGACTGGAGGATGCACACGACAGGCACTTCATGCTTCAGGTAAACAACAAAAGCAGGTCATTATCCTGCCTGGATAAAAACTCTGAGGTACATGATCAATCATTTTAGCACATTTAGTACTTTTGGGGAGTGTCTCCTCTAGTGTAAGTTAGAGCAGTGACCTACTTTATTGAGAAAGTTTTCAGATACATGAAACTTTTAAGTGGTTTCCTAGCAAGCAAAATCTGGTTTCGTGTCAGTAAGTTGATAATATCTCATTTTTCCCTATTTGGTAACTGTTTTACCACAAAGTAGTGCTTCTTGCCAATTGCATGCAGTAAGAATCTACCACATTTTGGGGATTGATGTAAAATTGACCCCTGTAATACCTGTGCAGTTTAGAAAGGCTTTGTATAACACAAAAGTATATTGTGTTCACTACAGTACAAGCAAAAATTTTAAAATAAGTACCCTTCCTTTACCTAAAACCTATGTAATCAAATCCTGCTTTACTTCTTCTTACTACCTAAACTCATTTTTTTCATCTGAGACTCAAACATGTTTACACGGCCGTGCCATTTTTAGGCAGCAATAAATAAATCATTTTAAGTTGAATTAAATCATACGAAACCCAACCCTTTGCATGTTTCCATGGCAAGAAGCCATTTGTGACATAAGAAAGAAGGAGCAGGGCCTCCCTGGTGGCGCAAGGGTTTAAGACGCAAACTATGAAGCTATCTGCAGCCTCTGCAGCATGAGTTCAATCTCCAGCCAGGGAGCTACCCACATGGTGCAGCAGACCTCTCCTGACACCTGCTGCTCCCCTCAGCAGTGTATTTCAGTCAATCTGCCTGTCCCCCACTCTGTCTCTCACTGTCCCCCCGTACCTCTGGCCTGTACCCCAGTTCTTGTATGCATAAATAAATAAATCTTTAAAAGAAAAAGAAAGAGAGAGAGAGAGAGAGAGAGAGAGAGAAAGAAAGAAAGAACACACCTGGGAAGTAGACACCTGCCCTGGTATCCAAACCAAAGCCTTTCTCTTTATCTTCCATTTTCTCATCTTCTTTTTTTCCTTTTGTCAAAAAGACTGAGTAGGAGCACCCCTGATTCATCTAGATAGAACAGCTTTAACCAGGGAGATGGAGCTGCCATAAGAGATTGCACTGCAGAGTTCCTTTTGTTCCAGGCCTTCATGCCACCTGTGGTGGCTGTCTAAAGTGCTTGAGCCTTGCTGGGTAGTGGCCTCCTCCCAGCTGTAGAACCTACTTTCCTCTTTCTTCCATCTCAATTTAATCTTCTAGGTCTTGAGTGCCACAAAGTTCAACCACGCATCTTATTTTAGTGACTCAAGCTAAAAGATTTGGCCTAAACTCTTGCCTTCCAAAAGGTGTACATGCTAACACAAATGAGTCTTTAGTGGAGAGGACCCAGAGGGGACTTCTACTCTTACCTACTCCAACATGCATGGGCTCTCCATTAGGCAGAAAAAAAAAAAATTGTCATTTAATATAATCCAGGATCTCCCAGACATCAGCACTCTAGCAGTTCTGTGATCCCAAGGAACTGGATCAAAACAAACAAATTTTTCTGGAGGGCATTTTAGCCAGTGATTAAGAGGGAGAATCTACTTCTCAAGGAATTAAAAGTCACCTCCCATGTCAGCATCACTGACAAAAACTGGCATCCCAGAACCAGACCACTGTGAGTCAAGCCACGATGCCTTGATTTACTTCTGCAAACAAAACACTACTGGGTTTTACATGGCCTAGCTCTCTGGCTGGCAGTCTTTACTGACAACACACACAGACACACATAAATGTAACCACACATTATTTAAGTGAGGTATGGAGTTAGTCAATGTAAGCACTATAAGTTCCAAATGATCTCACCTGAGCATGTCTGGGTCCTCTCTGCCCACAAGTAGAGGGGCAGCAGGAGAACCGGGTAGTGGATTTCCTTGACAGTCAACTCTAAGTCTTCTCCAGGAGGCTCTACGACATTGGACCGTGTCTGTCCCCTCCTTCTCACTGTTACAAAGCAGGAGTCCTGAGAGAAAGTGTATGTGGCGGTGGTCATGGTGGGTGCTGTTTCCTGAAGAGTCACATCAAGAGCACTCTCTGTAAATATGAAACCTGATACCATGAAGCAGACCGAACTTGGAGTGCATCTGCTGGTGAAGGGCCATGCACTAACCATCTCTCCTGGTCCTGTCATTTCTCAGATTGCCTTGAAGTGTGCTGACATTTGCAATCCTTGTAGAATCTGGGAGATGAGCAAGCAATGGAGTGAAAGGGTCTGTGAAGAATTCTACAGGCAAGGTTAGTAGTGATCCAACATCTTGTGTCTCCACTGTCCCTGCTCCTCTTAGGCATTTATCCTTATAAAACAGGAAATGGCTAATCTTTCATGGCATTTGTTCTTTCATCAACTCTTTTATCCTAACCTTTCTCTTTAACTCTCCTGCAAACCATCCAATCTTTTTATGGAAATATTTTTTTAAAAATAACATTGATTAAGGTCTCCCCAGTGGTGCAGCAAGTTGAGCACAGCGCTGTGAAGCTGTCTGCAGCCTCTGCAGCATGGGTTCAAGTCCCGGCTGGCCAGGGAGATACCCACATGGCATGGCAGACCTCTCCTGTCTCCCCCGCTGCTCCCCTTAGCAGTGTGCTTCAGTCAGTCTGCCTGTTCTGTTCCCGGCTCTGTCTCTGGTGAATCCTCTCACCCTCCTGTGACTCTGGGCTATACCCCAGTTCTTGTATAAATAAATAAATCTTTTTAAAAATAATAATAACATTGATTTACGACAGAAACTGATAGTAATGAGGTACAATAAAAATGAGTGAAAGTGGAAATATATAGACATAAGTATAGATATAGTTTTTATTAGTAACTTTCCACTGTGGATATAAGAATGTGAAGGACAGTTTGGTTTTTACTTTGACCTTCATTTTAATGAACTGAGTACCGCCTAAAGGCTAAAAGCCACTTGGGGTCAATGTTTTCCACTCTGACAGAAGGACTTAGACTTCTTTTGTATTCTCTCCCTTTGCTTTTTTTTCAGTGAAGTTAATACTGAAATTTTCTTATTTATGTGTTTTCTATTCATTTTTTGGAAAGAGCACGGCTGGTCAAAAAATGAGTTCATTCTCTCAAATATTCAGTGAAAATACAAATGACCCCAAGTGAGGGTATAATTTTTAGAAGATTAATCTCATTCAGAAATAAAGCAATGATTAGCAGCGGGATCTTGACCTTGGGTGGGTCACCAGGCTTGTTTCTCAAGGCCAGTTTCAGCACTCAGGATATTTGTTCAGGTATAACTGCCCTGAGTTGGTAACAAGATCAGGTCTGAGAGTCTGAGAACAGATAAAGCCTCAAGACCAACTCCATGGGGAGGTCAAATAGCAGCAGTGAGCCTTTTGGAAAAACCTGCATCGAATGATGTGTCAATGACATCGTGATGGTTCCAAAGACAGGAGACAAAGCAGAACTAATTAACTTCATATGGGGGCTGGAGGCTCTGCCACAATCCCTTTAACTCAGATAAAAGTGCTCATGTATCTCCTACAACAGAATTCACTTCAATTGGGTATAAATTGTTAGAAATCAAAAGATAAATTCTAGTGGCCCATGATATGAAATATCCATTGTGAGAGAAGCAAAAGGAAATATGATAAAATTGGAATAATGAGGTTTTAGATAAGATACTTTCTTTTCTGCACAATATGGAAAATATTGAAACAGCACAGCAGGCAAAAGTCTAGAATCTCTACCCTACTAATTAACCAGACTTTACCCATGTAAAAATTACTACAATGTTTTACCCTCAGAAACAATTGATAAAGTATTTTGACAAAACTTTGTATGATGGATTTCTCCTTTAGTCTTCTAGCTGACAAAGGCATTAAAAAGAAATATAATTCTAACCTTTATATTTTTCATAAACTTCAGCTACATTAGGTAAAATTTTAAGAAGTCAGAATGAAAAATATTAGATCCTTATTTCTCAACAATTTTGTAGCCGTTGACTGCCATGTTCTTCAACTCAACATCTTCTGGTCCACTCCTGCATTTTCTACCTACTTATTATTGCTGGTTGCTCAAGTGAAACAAGACTAGGGTCAGACAGAATAAAAGGAGGGGAAAGGCATAAATTCTGCTCTCTTAACATGTAACTTTAAACCAGAACTTCTATTCCATGTTAGGAAATGGCCCATTAGTTGTATCCTTATTTTTACAGAGCTTGTTCAAAAGTTTATTCTAGTCCCAGAGCACATCTATTTACAATGAGCCTATTATATATGATCTTGACTCTAATTTTTTTTATTTTTGCAGAAGCTTTCAGAGCAAGGTGGCACTATTGGGTTTCTTATGATAACAGTGCAGAGAACATCAATTCCCAGAATAACTTCTTTCAGCTAGATCATTAAAGCTATCAACAGTCATTTTTTAACGTTCTAGATTATCAATGTAGTTCTTCTTCTTTCTTTGTAGGTGACCTTGAACAGAAATTTGAACTGGAAATCAGTCCTCTTTGTAATCAACAGAAAGATTCAATCCCTAGTATACAAATTGGTAAGTCAAATTCAATTTTAATTCCAAACAAATAGCTTTAGCACTTCTACCAAGAGTCACAAAGAAAGAAAGGTCTCCACACAGCTTTAGAGAGATGCAGACTGGAGGTTTAATCAATGCCCCTTTGAATGACTGAATCCAAATAGCAACTCTAATCAGGACTAATCTACAAGGTAATTACCAATTGAGAAAAATAGGGGAAAGGCTCTGTTATAGAGCCTTAAGCGACTTTTATTAACTTTGCAGTTCAGAACTGAATCAAAACCAAATAGAGTAGAAGGAAAGTAACAAGGGTCAACTATTCACTGCTGAAGAGAAAATTAGTTTACACTCTCCTTAGGACTTAAAGGATGGAAAGTCAGCAGAGTTGGTTTTGGGGAGCATTCCAATTAGGTGACTACCTTTCATGCCCAATACAAAATCCCAAGGACAGGATGGCCAGTCCCTTGCTCTGGAAGAGAGACTAATCCCTTGTGACCTGGGGTCATGCTTCTCTTCTTTCCACTTAAAAATTCTTGAGTCTCATTCTCTTAGGACAACCCTCCCAAGTGTCAATTACAGTAAACTCTAAAGTGTAATGGTAACACATCCAAAATAATGATTACTTTAATAAAGTTTTGCATAAGATAATTAAGCAAATCAGGCTGTGGAAATTGTATGCATTTTACTGGAGGAAATATTTTTGATCTAATAAAGATTTCTGGGCCTCCCTGGTGGCAAAAGGGATTAAGCACCACACTATGCAGCAGTCCACAGCCTCTGCAGCACGAGTTCGATCCCCAGCCGGCCAGAGAGCAACCCACATGGCAAGGCAGAACTCTCCTGTCTTGCCCGCTGCTCCCCTCAGCAGTGTATTTCAGTCGGTCTGCCTGTTCTGTTCCCCATTCTGTCTCTGGTGGATCCTCTCACCCCCGCATCTCTGGCCTGTACCCCAGCTCTTGTATGCATAAATAAATAAATCTTTAAAAAAAATAATAAGGGTTTCTATCACTCCTTAAAACACACCACAGTTCCAGATATAGTTAAAGGAATACTTTATTTTCCTTACAACTGCTTCCTATTAAATCAGAATTTTAACACTTTTCTTTATACAGTATGGCCCTGACATGCACCAGTTCATTGGTTCACTGGTTTCCACTGAACTAAGATAGGCTAATGCAGTCCCAGTGCTGTGGACCTCTGCAAGACTCAAGGCTTAATGTCTTGATGTTGGGAGGAAAAGATAAGGTGAAAAGATAAGGTGAAAATTAAGAAAACCAGAGGGATTAAAATGATATGTTTATAATCACTGAAGTTTGAATTTAATTTATAGTCCCACAAAGGAGCATAAAGTCCTCCATCCCAGGGACATAAGAATATACAAATATTTAAATAGATATGTTGGAATTATGATATTTTTGGTTATACACATTTTATTCCAAATTTCCCTTAATATTGTTATGTTGTTTCTTACAATTAAACTGATTCTTCCACCAAGAAAAAGAAGGGGGGAGTGGGGATGGGACTATAAAAAATAGAAGCTAGGAAGAATCTAGGACAATAAAGCTACAGAATTATTGGGGAGTACGAGGGGGAGAGGGGAACAACATAGACAGAAATGCAGCCTCAGCCTCTGCAGCCTGTTGCCTCCTAATAGATTGCTTTCCTTGTGGGAGGTACTGCAGAGTCCCTAATCCTGGGACTCAGTTTTTCAAACTCTGGCTGGAAAGAAATTTACCAGGCACCTGTTAAAGACAGTTTGAACTCCCAAAGGAAAGCATTCACATCATTAAGCACTCAACCTGGGTTTGCAAGACAGACTTGATTTTAGAGATTCTGTCCTGTTGTCATGAGAACACATTTATTTTGTCAGATCATATGTCCTGATTTTTAGTTCAGGAAAATGTGGTTACCATAGATACCTGTTTTTAAAATGGGATGGGGATTGAGTGAGCAGGAAAATCCCATGGATGCTACACCAACACCAATAATAAAGAGAAAAAGGTGATTATAAAACAAGCCTTAGTACATAAATCTTCGTCTCTGCTTTATTTCTTCCCAGTTTTATAGGTTCAGGGGTAGATTAGGCTAGACTGGGAAACCCAAATAGATAAAGAATGGTATGGAATCTGCGGGCTTCAGCCTCCCAGAGAAGGACGTCCCAAGCCCAACCTAACACAGGTTTCTTCTGTCCTGATTCCCCTGGGACTGAAAATATCCCCTCTTTTTTTCTGTCCCGATCCACAATGAGATTTTCGTGAAAGCTGTCTCAGGCTTGGATCTGATTTTCTATTTAAATGATTCATATTTACCCAAGTGGAACTGGGACTTAAAATCCTCTCTCTCCACAGCCCATTTCCTGCCCTCTCTATGTCAATTTCTGCCTTTTAAAAAGAAGATGGTACATTGAACGTAACTCTAGTTGGTAAGATATATAGAAAGATGAGGAGAAAGAGGCTTTCCTTCAATCCTTGCTTTTTCTAAAGCCACATTCTCCCAAGCCCACCCATCCAGGAAAGCAGCATCCCAATAAAGCCAGATTCTACTTGACTTGAGTTGAAGTGGAGGCTGGCATAATGCATTAGCCACCAATGGAACAGATTCCCAAATCTGACCATGCAGGAGCCTGCCTTCATCTGAAAAACTGCCTCACAGTGTCTATTCAGACTTTAAGATGGCCGTGCTCCTGTCTATAACAGGCCTTTATGCCTGACAAGTAGAAATACAGATGAATAATTCCAGGCTAATTTCAGGAAGAAAATGAGTTGATTTTTTATCATTGGATTTGTACCTTTTTTTATACTTACAGTAAACTTGATAATATTCACACAAGTTTTAAAATAATAAAAATTTGCAAACTATCTTTAAGCTATCTAATATCTAATCTCTCTCAAAACAAAAGATATTAGAAATTAGATAGGGAGATTGTGAAGGAAGTGAAGAAAATTCAAGGATGAAATGCTTACTTGCTGGCTCTCCATGTAACCTTATCAAAATGCAGACATAAAGTCACTGGCTTAACTTTCCCCTCAGGTTCCAGTTACCTAAAATGATCTCATAATATTCTCATATTTAAATCATATTTCACATAAAATGAGATAATGCAGAAATGTAGAGTAACATTTTGCATTGCTGCTGCTTTTTCCCATCTCTGTAGCATTCTCACAGGCCAAGTAATCAAATCAAATCAAGCCTTATAATTCACATGCCTATAAACATACTGGGTTAGTGGTTGGATTTTGTTATGCTGAAAAACATTTGCCTTTTTCTCTCCACACACCTACATTTCAAGGAAATACATTAAAACCTAAATATGTCCAAGTTTGTGATTATTTCATTCTGAAATAATCATTCTGAAAGTTACTGCTTTTACAAATCATCTTTAATAGAGAATGCCTGTTAATGGTGAGAAAGCAGCAAGTCTAAATTAAGAGAATAGATATGGAAACAAAAAAGTCTAACATCAAATCTTGCCACTAAAGCAGGACTTTTCTTGCAGGTAAAATATGTATTCAGTATAAATGATTCTTTATTTACCTATACTTAGTTGTTTAATATAACTAAAAGTAAGACAAATGTATGAAATGATAATCTGGAAAGAAATATCCGACAGGGTAAATGCATGAATTTTTCAGATAGTCTGAGTTAAGATTGTGAACCTCCTGGACACCATTTACTCTTACCCTGTCCCCCATCCACCTCCTTTGTTGCAGCATAGACTATTCTTTATACTATTGTGTATATATGTCTTTCTCCCTTTGCAAATAATAATCGCCCATACTTACAGCCTGCTACTGTGTCACCGGAGATTTATAAGAATTTCCCATGTGCGAAGTCATTTCATTGTCATAAAAACTTATGGGCTCGACACCCTTCTTATCTCCCTTTGACAAATAAGGAGACTGAGGTAAAAAAAGGTTAAGTAACAAGCCCCAGGTGACATATTTTATGTTCTTCCTTCACATTCCAAAGCCAGGTACATGACAGACAGTCCTGTTTGGGAGGGAGGCAGAAGTAGGTTTACTACCTTCATGTTGATGAGCTTGATTTTGCCTGTTCTAGGTTTCATGACATACATCGTGGAGCCTCTCTTCCGGGAATGGGCCCGTTTCACGGGAAACAGTGCCCTGTCTGAGAGCATGCTCAGCCATCTCGCACACAATAAAGCCCAGTGGAAGAGCCTGTTGCCCAAGCAGCACAAAAGCAGTGGTGGTGGCGGTGGCAGTGGCAGCCCGGACCACACAGGCCAAGGGACTGAGAGGGAAGAGCAGGCCGCGACCGAAGGCGAAGCCCCATAGAGCCAGCCGAGCCTACCCCATGCTCTGCATGCGGAGAGAATGAGAACCTCATTCAGCAGAGGCCTTCTGAGGAGGTTCCTGCCCAAAAACCCAGCCAGCACTCTGGGTTTTGTCCTGGGGCTCCTTGGAATGCCACCCTCCTCCTACTTCCCTGCCTTCCATTCCCTTTTCCAGTGTACAGAAGCCATTCGTCGCCTCAGCATTAGCTGCCGAGATGAGCAACTCCAGTAATGTGGGAGCTGATTTTCAGGGCATGTTTGCCCCTCAAGGAGAAGACTGGGGAGTAAGAAAGAGGTGCTTCTGCTGTGACCCCCGTGGACCCTGGGTCCCACTGTGACAGGCAGCAGTTCCTAAGTCCAGAGCATGTTAGCGTTCACCACCTGACCGCTGATCTGCACGACAAAAACACCAGCACGTTTGGGACTCCAAGGATACTGGTCTTAAGAGCCAGGGCACAAATAAGAGCGTGAGAGAAAGTACCTTCTATTTTAATAATAATTATTATTATAAAATAATAATAAATCTTTTTAACTTTTATATTTTATGCACTAGACATTGGATCTAAAATTTTGGACTAAGATGACTCAATGTACCCAAACTTGAACAAGGGGTTCATTGTTTTGTTACTGATTTTATGCCACTTTGGGTCAGAGATTTGGCATCTTCTCAATTTAAGAAATCCAGTCTGAGGGGAAGGTGCTGTGTACTCCATTCTTCTGCACCATTGGCCAATCTGTCTTTTATCAAATAACTCAGATTCAGTGACATGTTTATATTCACACATGTACATTTTCTGTAAATACCAAGCGCTACTGATTCCCATGCCAAAATACATGAGTATTATGGGATTGCTACCTGTATAAACAATGGCACTGTGAACAGAATACTGTTAGATTTAATACAAGAGGATGCATTTGTAAATATGGTATAGAGTTTATTAATATACTATTGTTTGCAGAAAGGCCTTAACTTTACACATCTTTCATCTTCTGAAAGCCGCCCAACTTAAATCCTCACAGATGTCTTTCTGAACCGCCTTCCCATGTCCATCTTTATGCTTTCCAGCTAAGGTCACACACCAAAACTGAATAAAGTCTTTGAGGAAATGTTTTGGAAACTTCACATGCATTCCGCTTGAGACCATAGTGTTTAATCTATGGCACCAAGCATCGTTTCCTCAGATTAATGAGCCCGCTGCAGCAAGCCTCAAGTCGTTTTCAACGCAGCGACGTTGCACACTGTTTAACAAGCCAGCTGATAAGCTTGTGTTTATGTGACTCTTGTCATGGAACACAGTGGTGTGTCAACCTCAAGGGAGACATAACAGGTCTCGCAAACTCTCTACGACCCTGTCATCTAATCGTCAGGAAATTCTCTGGCCCCTCTCACACTTTTGTCTGTTATGGCTACAGTACCAAAGCACCTTTGGTTTATGGTTGGCGTGCATTTCTTTGGTGTTAATAGTAACTGGACTTTTCTTTTTCCTTAATTTCATGTTCAATTACCCAACTGTTTAGCTGAAGTTAACTTTATTTAGGTAAAGAAAATATTTGCATTATCTGGCACACTTTACCTTCCTGTCAGGTCGTTGTGGTTAAGTATGGCTCTTGCTAGCAGAGTCACTTTGGAATTTGCTTGCCGTTTTTTTCTGCAGACACTTGGCAGTAATATCAATCTGTTACAGCATTCCTCTCTAGTGGATTAACCTCTCTGCTTTGACCTTTTTCTTTAGAAGTTCTAGTATAACTAATGTTAGGTGAAAATTGGTGAAATTCCTTTCTTTTTAGCGTAAGCAACATCTCAGTGGGAGAATGGCAATCTGCTCGTTGCTGCCACCACCAAATCGTCTCATAAGCTGATAGAATGACAACCCGCTCCCATTTCTTACATGCAACTGTTTTTTTTTTTTTTCTTCCAACGTGCAAATGAAATGTTAAAAATTTAACTGGGTTGTAACAAGTTCCTGTAGAGAGACTGAGGTTTGCAGAGTTAAGGTTTAGGGAAAATTTGGGGGAGTTGGTTGTGTTTTTGTTAAAGTAGAAGAGATTTCAGATGGCGTTAGAGAAAGTGTGAAAAGCTCATGAAATGGGTAGATGATAAGTTGAAATTGTTGAGATGGGTAAGAAGGAAAGTTGTGAAAACTTAACACTCACTTTTTTTTCTGTAATAGCTATGTACTGACACATTTCTGTACTGCTTTAATTCTCTAAAACTTTCAGCCTGGAAAGGCCCCAAAAGAGAATATTTTGAATGTATTCTTGCTTCCAAACTTCTCTTACTTCGGGTTTGGTGATACAGAGAGAGGGCTTCTGAGTAGTCTATTTTTCATATACATGAGATCACATTAAAGAAAACAATTATTGAGGACAATATAGTAGAGATAAGAAAGATACTATTTTAGCTAATGGGATCTCTACCTTGAGTTTAAGAAACAAACTTTGTTTATATAAATTATATTTATATAATAACTTGAGTAAGTAATATTGAGAGCATTTTTAAGTAGTTCCATGTTTCCAAGACAAAGAGCTCACAGAGAAAACCATTGATTAACTGACTTTGAAGTCTATAAAACAGCTACTAGTATGAAGTCAGATGAGACATGATGCCTAAAGTAGATGCATTTGGCTCCTTCTTTCAATCATCTGGAGATGTCCTGAGTTCCTCATTTTTGGGCAAAAAAAGAAATGTGAAAACATTATTCTTGCTTCCAGTTGCTCTCACAATCTGTCAGTAGAAGTCCAGTCTTAAGAAGTCTTAAGACAAGTTGTTGGAGCATCCACAGACCATCAATAGTTGACTTACCAAGTTTAATTCTCACATTGCTTGAAAGAAAGGAATCAAGGGCTATTTTTAGTAAGCAAAAAGTAAAGTTAAGGTCAAATTAAGAGAGACTATATATCACTGCCAGGCCTGATAGGCAAAGTCTGCTTTTCCTTTTAAAAGCATCCAGTCAGAACCTTATTCATAAAACCCTGATCTCCCCATAACTCCCTGCTGGGCTGAGTAAAACTGCCGCTGTTGTACCTGCTTATGGCTTCTGGGCCCGGGAGGTGTTCTGCCATCCTATCTTCAGATAGTGCTTCCTGCAAAACACAGGCCTGCTTTGTAACCTTCTCTCATGTTGAATCACATTTGCTTACTGATTGGAACTTGGTTATGAGCTTGTACTTTCCTGTATTTCTTATGCTTTATTCTTTTCAGCAAACCCTTAAAATTGTGTTGTTTTGTGTACACATGTGAGGTTTGAGAAAAAACACCTTGTGAGTTTTGCTCAAAATGTGGCCTAAATATCCATTGGCATGTCTAGATGAACAATTAAAAATAAAGATAATTTCTTTAAAACATTGCAATATGAAACTATCCTGATTCTCACCACGTAACATGTTGCCACCCAACCCATCAGACTTAACCAAAACAACCCCTGGCTCGGGAGAGACACCGTTCAGGGAAAAGGCACAGTTGCAGATGTGACTGCACTCTACTTGGGGCTGAAGACTAGCCGTGTCCTTGAAGGCATCCCTTGGCAGTTAGTTCCAAATTAGGGAAAAGGAATTTTCTCTCTCTCACCATTCAGCTCTGCATTTCCCAAGTCCTGGTATTTTTCCCATCCACATTTGTAAAACTCACATATGAATGATAATCAGGTACAATGTTTCAGATTGCTAAAACAGCAGCTTCAATTCAAGAATTACTTGTGAAAAGTATCATCTTGAATTTCAGGACTGGAGACCACAAGGAAAAAGAGAATCACTCAGACAAGATGACTGTGGGTTTAGATATATCTAGAAATAGTGGAGAATAAAACAATACCCATAGTTCCCAGAAACATCCTTGTGTCTTTATATGCCCCCCCCATATCCATTTCACTGAGACTTGTATTCAAAATCTCACTGATTCCTTAATACGCCTCCCCAGGTCAGAGTGCAAAGCCATTTTTTCAATTAGGAACATGCTATATCATAAGTCTGACCCCAGTGGTGTTCCAAGTCAAGCTCATACATGACTTTTTTATATATTACTTGGGCTAAATTGGTTACAGCACTGTGTATGATTCAGGGGTATAGGATCACACCTCTTCACATGCTTGTTACCACACCACGCCCACCACCAAGGCACCATGGACCTCCACCCCAGTCCACCATAGTCCAGATAGGACTTTTGAATGTAGCTGGAAACTTAGCTAAAACATTCTCAAGTAGGCCAAGCCCGTGTGAGCAGTAGGACATTTCAACTCAACAATTATTGATTGAAGATTTATGTAACAGAGGTTATGCTAACTATTGGGGTAAGAGAAGACCCAGACCCTCCAGGAACATTCAAATGTGTGTCAGGAATGGTTGTTAGCAGTGATCATCTCTAGGGGAATTTGGGAGAACATCTGTGTGGTTCCAAACACAGCCAATGTTTTCTCCTAAAGTCAACTTCATAGAAAACATAAGTTTTGGAGACAGAAGTGGGTCCCAATCTAACTTATTCTGTGACTTTAGGGAAATCACTGAAGCTCTCTGAGATTATTTCTAGACAATAATATCTTTTGTAGTATTGTTGTGGCAATTAAAAAAGATTGCATACAAAAAGCACTAAGAACACTTTCAAGTACATGTGGTACATGGTAAGCCTTCAAGAAATACAAATTCTCTTCTCTTAAATTAGAGTCCGGCAAATACTCTTTCACAAAAGGAGAAAATATATGGGGGAAGTATGTGGCATGCTGAAGATACTGGTGATTTTACATTAAGAAGTCAAAATGTTTTACATTTTTTAACAGACTGGTTAATTTATGAACTTATTTATTTGCAAGGGTGGTTAAAAAGATTGTCCCTCAATCCATTGCTCAAATGAAACCTCTCCTTCAGTGACAGCCCACTTTTCTGTTTAGACCTCTGTATTCTACAGTAAAAGATAAGGTCTCTTTTCTTTGCATTTTGCTTAGAAAGGTCTATGAAGGAAACAGTTCCTAAAAACAAAATGAGTCATTTATCTCCCTTGCATCCGTGCCACCAAAGTGCTAAAAGACATGCCTCTGGGTCTCTGTGTCAGGCCCTGCAAGGTTTGCCAGGTTTTCACAGGCTCCCCCAAAGCAGGCATGGGTTAGTGCCTCCCAGGATGCGTCAGACTCATGCCACTCACCATTTGTAAACATGTTTTCAGGTCCTGCTCACTGTCTTTCCTTGAGCAGGATGGAAAGCAGAGACACTTGTTTCTTTTTTTATTTTTTTCATTTATTCAATTTCTATATTTGTTGGTCATTTGAAATTTGTTGGACAAATTTCTAGGCACCTCAGATACTTTTTTTTTTTTAAGATTTATTTACTTATGCATACAAGAACAGGGGTATAGACCAGAGATGCAGGGGTGGGGGTGAGAACATGGTGAAAGAGTGGGGAGCAGAACAGGCGGATCTACTCAAATACACTACTGAGGGCCACAGCAGGCAAGACAGGAGAGGTCTGCTGTGTAATGTGGGTTAGCTCCCTGGCCTGCCGGGGATCAAACTTGTGCTGCAGTGGCTGGCAATAGCTTGATAGCACTGTGTCTTTAACCCCTATGCCACCACATAGGCCCCACTTCAGATACTTTAGAAAATAAGACTGAAATGTATGCTATCCTTATATTTACACTTCAGTGGAGTAAGATAATGGAAAATGTAATCAGAAAATGATCAACTATGTCCTAAACACAAAACAGCCATGGAAGTATTATAATCTCATACACGCTTATACATATCACCTTGGGCAATAGTCAAGCAAACTTATGCGTGGAAGGAACACTTGAAGGCATTTTATAGCGAGTTCTCAGTGGCCTGGTATATAGTGGCTTCTCCCACAGAGTGACACACAGGGGGCTTCTGTCTCATGTGGATTCTCTCCTGAGCATGAAAGCTGGTTTTGCAGCATGGAGGGTTCTCTGTATGAATTGATATAGTTCTGTTGCCTGGGAGAAGACTTTGGGACACTTGGAACAAATAAATGTCTTCTCATTACTGTATCTTCTCTGATGGTCTGTTTTATCAGCTTTTAACTGAAATTCCTAAAGATCTGGAGAGACTTCTCACATTTGTATGATCTGGGGGCACCCATGACTATTTCTTGAGGTTTCCACAGATAGGGAGATACCCTCAATGGTCTAATGGGTAGGAACAGACTCAGGAATGACCTGTCCTGGACTGGAAAGAAACTGTGGTCCCATCTCCATAAACACAAGGGGGTCTTTTCAAGGACCCTTTCTGGGGCCTGGAGGGGACTAGCCCTGTACTTCCAGTTCTGAATGGATACTCCAAATAATCACCTCCCTCTTTAGGTGTAGGACAGTTCTCTTTCTGGAAAATGAGTAGGAAGTTGTTTCTTTGACTTGTCTAGTAATACTGTCATTTATGTAACAAGTTGTCAGATATCTCCAACATTTTCTTTATCTTCACCTCCTTGTCCTCTTTCCAGGGAAGTATCTTAGGGAACAGAAAATTATTGCCATGTTCTCCCTTGTTGGGCTTCCTATTAACACTGCTTTGTCAGTTGAACAGGGACTTCTCTGAAGGGCATATCTCAAAAAAGAGGGCTTCCTATCCCTAAGTGTGGGTGAACTTCTCTGCTAAACTTAAACCTGGTTAATCCTGGAGTGAAGATTAAGCTACTGGGTGGTTGGTTTTCTGCACTAAGTTCATCTCAGTGGCCCTTCTTAACATCCTGCCAGGGAAGGGAGAAGACAGTCCCAACTTATGGGAACATAATGGACTAATTTTGAGTTATGACTAGATAAGGAACTTTCATGTAATGGCCAAATTTTGAGTTATGACTAGATAAGAAACAATCCATTGTGAGTTGTCGGTTTTTTTTCTATTAAGTCAAAGAGATCATTAGAAAAATTTTTGATAGATACGGCTTGAAGGTGCAGAGTCTCTTGTCCTAGTCAACTAAGCAATGATGTGCTTCAATTCAATTGCCTGGAATAGTTTAAATTCTAGTATTGCAAGTGCTAGTTTCATTTTCAGTAATTTTTCCCTTTTAAGGAAACAATGCAGGGCCTCCCTGGTGGCGCAAGGGGTTAAGCACCGCACTAAGAAGGAATCCGCAGCCTCTGTAGCACGAGTTCAATTCCCGGCCAGCCAGGGAGCAACCCACATGGCATGGCAGAACTCTCCTGTCTCGCCCACTGCTCCCCTCAGCAGTGTATTTCAGTCAGTCTGCCGGTTCTGTTCCCCACTCTGTCTCTGGTGAATCCTCTCACCCTCCGCATCTCTGGCCTGTACCCCAGCTCTTGTGTGCATAAATCTTTTTTTTTTTTTTAAAGGAAACAATGCAGTAGAGTTACAAAAGTATAGGTTTTGGAATTAGACAAACCAGAACTCAAATCCTTCATTATCACTTACTAAGCTGTAATTTCATCTCTCTGAGCTTCCGTTTCCTCGCTGTGAAATGAGAGTAACACCTGCTTCCAGAGTGGTCGTGAGGTCAAAACTAAAAAACAGACATGAAACACACAGCTTAGTTCCTAGTAGAAAGAGAATATTCCACAAAAGTAAATTCTGACATTATTTAAAGAAAGTAGGATTTTGTTCTCTGTAGGTTGTATCATTTTTGTATAAAAGAAAACACAAGAGCCATTAATGGACTTAATTATGTCTACAATCTGACCACGGAATAAGCCTTATATATGGACAAAATAGTGTAAAAACTAATTACAGAGAGAAGGCTGTGTCCCTGGGATAGTAAAGATACACAGATAAGACCAGGGACAAATAAAGTGCTGCCTCTTGCAACAATCAAGTATATACTCCTCAGCCCAGCTGAGAAAACTAATCTAGTTAATCTAAGCTTTTCCTAGAGTTGATGATAATATAATCCTGGTTTGAGAGGAGGCTTAGTTACACAAATAAAACTTGATAACCTGCAAAATTGTTTTTTTCCCAAAGGGTTTCCAAAAATATAAAATATCTTTTATACCTTTTTTGCATTATTTTTATTTATTTTTATTTTCTACATCATTGTTCATTTTTAAACATTATTTGCCTTCCCCCCATCCCATCAGGTGTAGTCCCCATAGAATTTCCTTCACCAATGCACCCGTGCACCATCACCTCAGTTTCATGAATTCCACTATACCCTACAAATTATATCCACAGAGATTTCTAGAGTTCCTGCCCTTCAATTTCATCGGATCCTTTCTGGCCGCTGATAGCGGAAACAGAGAAGTCTAGAACAGTCTTTATAAGTAGACCACCCTAAAGAAGATTCTGTTCTTCTAAGCTAATATTCTTCAAATTGCTTTAAAATGCGTAGCTAAAAGATGTTTGTTAAGTGCTCACTAAAGACAAGGTTTCTTGGGCCTCCCCAGTGGCGCAACAGTTGAGCGCTGGGTTGTGAAGCTGCCCGCAGCCTCTGCAGCGCCCGTTCGATTCCTGGCTGCTCCCCGGTCACCGGTGGAGGGTCCCACATGGCGCGCAGACCTCTCCTGCAGCCTGCTGCTCCCCTCAGCAGTGTATTTCATCAGTCTGCCTGCTCTGCTCTCACCTCTGGCTCTGGTGAATTCTCTCACCCTCCTGTGCTTCTGACTGTACCCAGTGCTTGTATAAATATATAAAAATAAATCTTAAAAAAAAAAAGACAAGGTTTCTTAGTCTGAGAAGTTTGAGAAACAATGGACTAAAACACCCAATTGTTTTCTCTTACATGCTCTCAGAACTCCACATTTGCAAATGGCTATCTCCAACAAGATCATATGGATGTAACAATCTTCTGGTTCTAATTTTGGTTCTATATCTTGAAGACATCCTTAAAAATACCACCCTAGGATGGAGTCCCCATTTATCATTTACTCCTTAATATTGTGATTTTTTTTTACATATTATTAACAACATATGTGTGTTTTCTGCCCAACTTTAGATAGAATATTGTGATTAACTTGCCCCAAGTTTCTGGTTTGATTTTACCACTTATTAGGTGTCTGACCAGGGGGGATAAAGTTCCAAACTTTCTGTGACTCACCCTTTTTATTAGTAAAGTGGTGATAAAATGTCATCTATTTCTTAGCATTTCTAAAGATTAAACAAGCACATGCACGTAAAGCATTGTGAATGCTGCCTGGTTCATAGAAAGGACTCAGTAAGAGGTGGATCTCTTAACAAGGGGTTAAGCACAGCACTATGAAACTATCCACAAACTCTGAAACACAAGTTCAATCCCCCAGCTGGCCAGGGAGCTACCCACATGGCACAGCAGACCTCTCCTGACTTGCCCACTACTCCCCTCAGCAGTGTTTCAGTCAGTCTGCCTGTTCTATTCCCCACTCTGTCTCTGCTGAATCCTCTCACCCCACACATCTCTGGCTTGTACCCCAGTTCTTATATGCATAAATAAATATATCTTTTAAAAAAAAAAAGAGTTAGCAATGCCAGCATCTTCTCCTTGCTCTGGCATCGCCCTCTTAAGCCTGATGCATAAACTCCTTAATAAGACCAATAATTGTCTTTCATAATATATCATCCATAGTGTAACATAGGAAGGACTGAATAAGTACTTGTTAAATGAAACATATTTCTGATCAATTGATAATCATATTAGAATTTAATGTCTAAATCCAAACAAGTAACTTCCAGCTGTAGCCATAAATGTCCTCATAATTTGAATGCAGACACAATTTTCAGATATGCCCACTGCTGTCTGGTAGATTTATATTGTCTCTAGGAATGTGGTTTAAGGAGATAATAGGTTTTGGGCCTCCCTGGTGGCGCAGCGGTTGAACCCTGGGCT